AATATATATCATTTTCACACACAGAAAATTAATTAAAATAACATAATTTATATATGTAAAAATAAAGTACTATAAAATTATAAACATACACAAAATTTATATATTTTAATTAATATGTAAAATATTAAAAGTAAAAGACCTATATGGTTATTTTTTTTATAATTATGTTGTGATATAAAAGTGTCTCACGTTATTAAATATTATTATAATAATAAATATCATTTATTTTTTAATTTGCTTACAAATTCCTTCTATTAAAGTAGTTAAGGGTTTGAGGCTTACAAATAGAAAACTAATATAATTTTGTAGATTCCGCACCGTATTCGTTTAATTTGTGTGGGGATGGATATAACTTTAGTGTGTAGTAGGCGGGTGTGGATTTAGAAAGTGGTACCTGTCGCGGGTAGTGGGCGACATCTGCACACCCACTAAATACCTATCAAATTTTGGACTATTATAAATTTAGGTATAATTTTAGGGTTTTTTGTTTATATGTGTCAGAAAAAAAATATTATGTGTTTATCATTTATGTTTCTATGCTTTAATTATATATTTTATTATGGTGTTTTATGTACTTTAAGATTTACGTTAACACTTAACTCATATAATCATTGGTTAATTTTATTATGTTTCTTAATGGATGTGTTTGTTTTATGTTTGTTGTTTATGTATAACTTAAGGTTGCTGTCAGGTGGGTTTAGCCGGGTACGTCTCCAGTTAGGTAGTGGGTGTGGAGATGAATTTGAGAATGTACCCATCATGGATAGTGGGTGAGTGGTAGATTTGAAAATATTTAGTGAGTATGGAAATAAGGGAGGATGTATCCGTACCCGACCCGCCCCGCCCGTTTGCCATCCTTACTTACAAATTCGCTTGGTACCATATAAAAATATTTTATTAATTAAATACTTTTAATTTTACAATAACAAAATATATAATATAACATCACAATGTTATTTATAGGTTGGAAATTGGAATAATTAATAATTAAGATCTAAATGAATTAAACAAAAGCAAAATGACAGAGTCAATGACGATGATGAAGAGAAAAATAAAAAATAGGTCTCTCGATGTATATTTCATTACCTGTACTAGTTGAATAGTTGTTAAGATGATGACACGAAATTTGAGGTGTTTTATACAAAATATATCTGTCTCTGTCTAGATTAGATAATTAATTATACTTGGGTAGATTTTTTTGATTCTACTAAATTTATTGATATTGTAAAAACGATTAAACTTATATTGCCAAATACATGTAAATCGTTATTAAACTAATAATATATATATTTTACGGATTAAGTCAATTAATTTAATTATAAATTTAATAATTGATGGATAAAATCAACATAAATAACATTATAATCAATTTGAATCGACTTATACTCTCCCTTGTCCTAAGTGTTTTCAGTCCGCATGGCCTTTTTTTTGAATTATCTACAAATAATTTGTTTTGTTCTACTTCTGTACATTTTTATTTTTATCTAGTTTTGATATTATTAGAAAAGGTGTAAAAAGAAGAAGAAAAAAACCAAAATCTAACTAGCATGAAAGTCTCCTTTCCAAGTTTGTATGGAGGGAGTTATAGAAAACCTCACTCTCAAGATCAGCGCGTAACCCACGCGCTTCACTGACCAAGTCCCAAATCCCAAATCCCAAGTCCCAAGTGATGTAGTATAAAATTTTACATGTGGGATTCCCAATGCTTCCCCCTTTTTTTCTCTCACTGTCCTCGGCTCTCTTTATCTGGAAGAATGATACGTATTTGACTAAGTCTAGTGGAGAAAACCAATGGAAGTAATTGAAAGTCAAGCACCTGCTTCAAATTTCGGTTCAAAATCTTCGGTTTATGACATTTCCTCCACAGACCTTCAAAGCACTGGGTTACGTGTTGTATCAGAACCCTCCGTTTTATCTCCATGGATAGTCCGAACGGAGAAACCGAATCGGTTTCCCGTCGGGGAATATTGGTGGTTGCCCGGAAATGCAGCTGGAACCGTGTCTGACGGCCGAGATTCTCCTGGTTCGAACCATACGCGTGACGGTGGTTATTGTCATTCCAATGCCGCCGTTAGGGTCCAGAAGGTGTATAGGAGTTACCGCACACGGCGTAGGTTAGCAGACTCCGCTGTTGTCGCTGAAGAACTCTGGTACTATTTCCATAAAATCTTTGTCTCTGTCTTTTTTTTATTAATATTATTTAAAATATTGTATTTCTCGATTATTGTTATTATTATTCAGGTGGCTAGCTTTGGATTATGCAAGGCTTAATCACAGCACAATTTCCTTTTTTAATTATTTGAAACCAGAAACTGCTGCTTCAAGGTGGAATCGCGTTGGCTTAAATGCTTCTAAGGTACTTTTTTACATAAAAAAAATTACCTTATTTCCATCTGCAGTCTTTTTTTTTGGTTATTTTCATCAATTATTGCGTTTTTCAAAAATATTTTCGGGAATTTTGGCAGGTTGGAAAAGGGTTGTCCATTGACGCCAAAGCACAAAAATTGGCTTTTCAACATTGGATTGAAGCTGTAATTTTCTCTTCTCAATCTTTTTGAGTAAATTATGGTTTTAGTCCCTCTACAATTCTCAAATTTGAGGTTTCATATTTAGTTCCTTTAACTTAACATATTTTTATAAATACAATTAGCTAGTCTAAATAATTAACACTTTTGAAATTTTCAATTAAAATGTTGGCCTGAGTTTTTCTTGAAAACATCCCTTGCAACGTGAAAAGAATTCATCTTAGATATTTGGATTAACTAGCGATAACCTGGTGTCAAATTAATATATAGAGATTAAACTCCAAACTTAAGCATAATAGAGGGACTAATTCCATGATTTGACCTAATCTTTCACTAAATGTTATAAAAAGTTATCATTGGAAATATTATGTAAACAAAATAGTTTGGACAATGTCATTGATGGAATCCATTTTTTGATTGCAGATTGATCCACGACACCGTTATGGCCATAACTTACACATTTACTACGATGAGTGGTGTAAAGATGATGCAGGTCAACCATTTTTCTACTGGTAAACCTCAAACTTATAGTACAAAGACTACAATAATCTCCAAGTTGAGTATGAAAACCATAATCTGACTCTTTATCTTCTTTCCGCAGGTTAATAGGGGATGGCAAGAGGTCGATCTTGACAAATGTCCAAGATCGAAGCTCCAACAACAATGCATCAAGTATCTCGGACCTGTACGTATGCCGCTCTTATGTTTGATTTAATCTAGATTTTATGTTTTCCAAATGAGATGAGTGAATTCTTAATACTTTGCTATTGTTGTAAACAGCAAGAAAGGGAGCATGAGTACATTGTTGTTGAAGGAAAGATTATTCATAAACAAACTAGAAATGTACTTGATACATTCAAAGGATTAAAAGAGGCTAAATGGATATTTGTTATGGGCACCTTGAAGAAATTGTACGCTGGCGAGGTAATTCGTCCGACTCAAATGACAACTGTTCTGTTGTTTACCTAGTGGATGCATGAAAACCTGAAAAATGTTTTCTTGACCTTTTTGTACCTTGCAGAAGAAGAAAGGAATGTTTCATCATTCTAGCTTCTTAGCTGGTGGAGCAACGCTAGCAGCTGGTAGATTGGTAGTGGAGCAGGGGATACTAAAGGTATACGTTTGTTATGATTTAGGATTCAGTATTTCTACACAGATTTGTTACCTGCTGCCAATATTGATGATTGCAATTTAATGCTGGATGTCTGATACAATGTTTGAGACATGATTCGTTCAGTTTTCAGCTCATAATGATTTAGGATTTGGTAGTGTACTTGAATTTTGTTACCTGCTGCCGATACTGATAGTTGCATTTAAATGGCTAGATATCTTATACAATGTATTGAGAGTTTGAGACCTGATTTCATTCGTTTTTCAGTTCATAATGATTTATGATTTGGTTGCGTACTCCGATTTTGTTGTTGTTGCCACTATTGGTGGTTGCATTTGAATGGCTGATATCTGATACAATGTTATGATGCATTGAAACCTGATTTCTTTCGACTTTCAGTCCATCTCTGCTTATAGCGGACATTACCGGCCAACGGATGATAGGTCTTGACAGTTTTCTTTCATTTCTGATGAAGAATGGAGTGAACTTCAGCAAAGTTGAGGTAGCCTTTCATTCTATCCATTTTCTCATTAGCATTTGTCCAATTTGTAGAGTTGCAGGACTTGGATTATGCTATTTCCTTCTCCAGTTCTGTAATAATTTGATGACTTACATTTATCTTGTTCTCAGATTCGCCGGGCGACTGAGGATTCTGATAACTATGATGATGGCAAACCCAGCGGTAGTGTTACTGCTTCCGAATTTTCAGCAAGCTCAGGGCCTACTGAACCCAAAATTGACATCGAAGAGAATAATTTATCATTAGAGTCATCTGAAACTAACCAACCAGAGACCACAAATACTTACAAAAGGACTCTATCTGGTGGTCTTCAGAGCCCAGAACTGAGGTGCCTAAAAATGCCATATGCAAAGGATCAACTCAAAGAAGGCATTGAAATCGTACCAGTTGGGACATCAGCTGTCACTCAAGTGGTCAACCGGTGCTGGGCCTAGGATCGGGTGCGTTGCTGATTACCCTGTGGAACTGAGACAACAAGCTCTAGAGTTCGTCAACTTGTCCCCTAGAACACCAAACACCCCTTTGCCATTCCCGACTCCAAGAACACCACGTACTCCGACAACTCCATTGGCATACCGGCGTCCTGGTAATCTTGGAACGATTCAAGCTCGGCCAACACCGGACTAGTCAAATGGTTGAAGGGATTTCTGGCATTTTAGTGTAATAATACACCACAATCTTGTCATGTAGTGAATGTAAATATTTAATCTGCTTTAATGTCACTTCAGCCTCTTTGAAATGGCTTCTACTATTAATGAAGAAACAATGTCGACCTATTCAAGATAAATGGTAAGTGTTCGATCTATTTAATAATTCGGTTGAATTTCGAGTTCTTAGTCCGGTCATTATTTGGAAGAACTTCGATTATTAATATTTTCTTACAACTTTTATCCAATCTCAAGCCCAAGATGACATCAATAGAAAAGAACATATAACTATTGTCATCACCCATTTTATAAGGGTGGCGTGTGGTCTTAAATACTTATTACATAATATGTATATGATACAATGGACTTTAGTATACAGTTTTGTTTTTCAAAAATAATAAGTGTTGGTATATAGTAATGTGCATATTAAATGATAGTATATAGTATATTATATAAGTGAGCCCATATTTTAGTTTTAAATATTAGCCCATTTATAAATCAAGCCCATTTATTTTTCTTTAATAAATAATAAAAATAACCCAAAAAGAGAAAAAAGACCATTTTATTAAATATATTAGCCCATTACATTTTTTTCAAGGCCCATATTTTTACCCATATACATATTATTAAATAAAAATATAAAAAGAAAAAAGAAAAGCCCTAGTTTCTAAACAAATGCCGAAGGTTGGCTTCCTTGGGAGGGAAAAAGTTTTGACTTGAATTTTGAAAGAGAACATGCAATAAATAGTGGAGCAACTGTTTTGAGAAGAAATTAATAGTGTCACGTCATCAATATGTGGCTAACAAACACAAACACATCGGGATCGTTGGATCCAAGAGTTGAGGAAAAACATTCCAGAAGCATCCTGACCGTTACGCTTCCGCCGTCGGCGCGTCGCCGATCATGGCCGGAGAGTGTTCCTCACGTGCTCCGTTCATCTCCTCTGGTTGTCGATCCGACGCCTTTTTCATGCAAAAAATCAGATTTTTGCAGTATAACCGAAATTTGTTGTAACCACATTTGAGCGGGAATCACAATGTGCAAATAATCAACTAAAGGGAGATTTAGATCAGTATAAATAAGTGCATAATATTTAGAGATCAGGACCATCATCAAAGCTACTACTCGAAAAAAAATCAGAAAATACAAAAAGGAGTATTTTTTTACCGATCCGTGGTTGCCGGAGTTTGTTAACGCCATAGGGACTGCTGTTCTCCGTCGCACACATCATCGGTTTTGGAAGCTTGAACCGAATGTGAGTTTTTTTGTGGATAGTAACCTTTGAGGGTTGTTTATTAGAGGAAAGGAGGAAACTTTGAGTTTTTTTGGAGTAGGAAAGGGTTTTGTTTTTGAGGATTGTGTGTTGTTGTTGTAAATATTTGGAGTATAATTAAGGAAAATAGATTTTTAGGTTTTTTTTTTCCTGATTAATATGTACTTTTTGAGGAAGAACATTCAAAGAAAAATAGAAAAAGAGGCTTTTAATCTAAAGAAAGAGTTTGGTTCATGTAGTGTTTTAGATAGAAAGAGAGGGAGTGAGGCGGCTGAAAAATTTCTTGGGGGAGGGGGATTTTTGGTTAGAAGTGTACAAACCCGGGTACTTGGGTTTTTGGATAATCGCAACATCTGGGTCGGGTTTTTTTTTGCCTTGTCTTGATTTGGATGTTGTGGGTATCCGATAATCGGGTATCTAGTATCTGATATTTTTCTTCAAATTATTAATTTTAAAAAATATATATATAAATTTAAATGTTTGAAACTTCAAATTATATACTCCAACATCCTAACATAAAATTTAAAAGTTCGAAATACAAAATCTAATAATTCATAATCTATTATATATATATATATATATATATATATATATATATAAACTAATCGGGTACTAAGGTAACCGGATACCCGGAAAACTTCAATTTTATGACTCAGGCCTGACCTGGGAAATGTCGGGTCGGGTACCCGACCATTTAATTTTTTTATATAAAATTACTCGATTTTTTAGGTCTGAGTTTGCTGGTGGCGGGTCGGGTAGTTTTGTACACCTCTAGTTTTAGTGTTTATTGGGCTTTTTTTTAGCAAATTGGGGTGCAGGTCACTTCATAGTAACGTGTTTATACCTCCTAGTTTTGTTTCTTTTATTTTAGTCACTAAATCACTGTAATTCATTCCTTAAATTCCGAAGTGAGTTCAATTTAGACCTTGATTTTGCTTCAATTGTTTCTTTATTTGTTTAAATGTGTTTTATTATTAAATATGAGTAAATTTTCAATTCTCTGAATATGGTCACGTGTATAACTGTAGAATAAAACCTTTAAGTTTTCTAAATCTTGTAATTTAGTCACCAATATTAAAATCAAGCCTTAGACTTTAAGTTCTTTAGTTTTAGCTTTAGTCATTAGTTAGAGCTATAGTTTAAGTTCTTTAAGTAGAAATTAATTAAGTTTAGAATTATCGTTTTAAGATTAGTCTCTTTAATAATATTAATTAGAAATAAATAGATAAATTTATAATTTGATTAAAATATAATATCAATTTATTTTTAAATATTGAAATGAATTGTCTTAAAATAATTAGACATTTATTTTTTAATATTTTCAAATAAATAAGTATTCTATCAGTGGCCAATTTAAAAATTAAATAGGCTCATTAGTTAAAACAAAAGGGTAGATGTGTGTTCCTATCTTTAAATTGCTAATGACATGTTGTTTGATTATAAAGTCAAAGGTCGAGCCTTCGTTTTTTAAATCAATGAATATCCTTATTCTTTTAAATAATAATTTGACTAGTTTGTCACCTTTAATTTTTTTAGGGTTCTATAATTTTTAAGGATGATAATATTTTATTATTTCGATTAAAATATAAGAAATAATCACCTTAATTTCGATTAGGGGTTAGTTTCTTCTTTAATTGGAAATAAATAAGTGTTGTACATCTCTATAAAATTCTCTAATTAGGTTAAATATTCTTATTTTAGGGAATAAAATGATCATCAATTGAATAAATATTCGAATTTCTTAATTTTCAATATAGGGACAAATTTGTAATTGAATGTACTAATTTTTTGGCGTTGTGGGATACTAATCATTCCCTAAATGTAATTGACTCCCAAACCCATAATCTCTAGATCATATACCAAATCGCGTCTTTTTAAAAAAAATTAAAGGGCGTATCCCATTTTTAACCTACCTAATCTCAAAGGTCGATGGCGACTCAAAATGTTTCAAATATTTTTTAAATTCCCATTTCTAATTCCAATTTCTAAACTTATTCTGAACACGCTTCAAAAAAAAAAGTCATCATGACAACTATAAAGGAGTTGACAGACACAAAGAACACAAAGGGAAGTTTTGGTGGTAAATTTTAGTTCCGTTAAAGTTGCTTGAGGCTGTTTTGAAAAGCAGGAAAGAATATACAGCTCGCCAGACTTCCTGCGTAGGGTGAAGTGTATCCCAAAAGAAGTTTTATTTAGGATTTGAGCAAAACGTGTACTTGTTTACCCCATTTTCGTCCACACTTGCATAGTGAAAATGCAGCACTCACTCCCACGCAACATGGCTGTAATGGGTTCTCAAATTGTGGTCCTCCTGCAAATGAAACAAATAACATCTTCAGAAGTCAAAGGTGTATGTATGTATATATGTGAGTGTTATGACCTTTATGTGCTTGTGTTTGATTGAGAACGGTCCAAAAGGCATCATGAATGTCAAGAATGAAGAAAGAAGTGGAGTTGGTCTGGTTGTTGAGATTGGTGACCGCTTGAAACAGCTGCCGGTTGTGGAGATTAACAAGGGCGTTTTGAGCTTGGTTGCACCGTTGAAAGGAGGACAGGGCGGTGTTCTCCGGAAGACACCCCAATGGTGGCAGGGAACCCACAGTTATTTTCCCCACTCCCAAGCCATGTATGCGTCTCATATTCACAGTCAGTTGGCTCACGACGCTTGAAATAAAGGCCGGAAAACCCTGTCACCAATAAAATATAACCAAAAGAAAATCAACAAAAGCCTAATTTTCTTTATACAGCATTTTATAATACCATCTATTATATTATTAATCATAGAAGATTGAGACTCATTTGACAAAGTATAATTGTATAATTTGAAATTACATGTTTTAATTACCTCTGTAGAGCCGTTCATGGCAGTGTAATTGAAGTAGTCATTGCCTGAAGCACTGACAAATGCTAAAGAAGTTTTCAAGTTCCTCTTGGTGTAAACGGAGTCATTGATCAACTGTTGCAGAAAATCGATCTGAGTCGTCATGTTTGGATGCGGAGCCAACGTATCGAAAACCCCAGTCCCTCCATGAGCAAAGTTCAATCCGTATTTCACCCGACCCACCAGTTGTTTCCTCCATCTGTATGGTAGTGGTGTCTTCATTCCCAAGTAACCCGCTGATTGTCAAGTGATTTAACACAAATTTATAAGTGACTTTTTGATCAAGTTCAATTGACTGGAATGATACTTTGGTTACCAAATCATCACCGTTATTGATCACAAAGTAAAAGAGAAGGTGAGAGAGATATAGTTTACCAATGAAATCAGTAGAGACTCGGCCGTCAGGTTTCCCAGGAAAGGTAATTCCGTAAGGGAATTTCCATGAACTTGCCAAAGCTATCCTGGTGTTTCCCGTATCAGCATACGAATCCCCAAACACGAATAAATTCTTTTCTCCATTTCCCGAACCTTCAACACCTTGCTGCTCACCTTCATTTCATTCCAATTCACGTTATAGAAAAGAGCAAAAAAAATATTGAAATCATCAACTCTTGCAGTGAAAAAGGATATCAGAAACAAATATAACGACAGGGTTTGATTTTTCTATTAGTTTAAGAGAAAACAGAAATGAAGAAGAAAAATGCCAAGTTTTGAGCTGCTACTTTAGACTGGCTTAAAGCTTCCAATTGCTTTACTGTTACTTGAAAGCGCATATTTGCGATTTGGAGGAAGCATACGCATTATATAGAGAGATAAAGTGGGACGTAAAGGCTCTTTCATTGCACGTTTGGTCCTCAATTCTTTAAAAATTCGGTCACCTTATTAATTAAAATTAAGTCTAAAATCGGAATAAAAACAGCTTAATTTATCATGATCTGATTAAATATGAAAAGAGATTTAAATCGCCATCAAGAAAGAAATGAGAATTCAATTCTCCATGCCAAAATCTTTTGGTACCTAATATCCATATGCTCAAATAGCAGGACCGTACATACTCTCTTGGGAAAAGTATTCTCTTTTCTTCCAAGAGTATTTTTGAAGCATTTTTCTTAGGCATTTTTTTTTAATTTCTATCGTTGTATGTGTTCTTTTAGGCGCGTTAGATTTAATGAGTACGTTTCTTCGCCTTTTTTTTTCTAAAATAAATTCCTTTGAAGGAAGACTGTGATGGGCTCTTACGGTAAATAAGTTTTTCTTTTGGATATAGATTCATAGGCTGTCATTATGATTGCTTACGTTAGAAATGTTGGTATAATTGGTAATAAGGTTGGACCTGTGGTTTAAATTAATGAGGGGACTTGAGATAAAGGGACACCAAGAAGGGATTTTAGAATTCATAAAGGTAGTAGAGGAGGAATTTGGATATATCTTAAGAATGAAAAGGTAGCTAATTTTTGTTGATGCATATGGGTTATGGTTGAAGGTTGCTCCCATTAAAGTAGTAATTGAAATGTGAGTTTAGGATGTTAAGGGAGTTTGGGGTTGGAAATGAGAGGGAATGATTATGTGTTTGGTTAAAAGGTTGAGTAAGGTAGGGATGAGACTGATCCAGGATAGGAAATTTTGTTAAATCGACACTTGTAAATGTGACGTTTTGTGTATAGTATATTGTCATTTGAGTATGTTTGAGTGATTTACATGTTTAGTGGCTTAGGGAAATGAATTTATTGTTAAATACAAGTTTAAATGATGTTAAATGAAATTATAATATGCCCTTAGACTTTATAAATAAAATAGGACCTTAAATGTAGTGTATAGAGGAAATTTGAGATGAAATCGAGTTTAAGGTGATTTTTAGACTTTGGTATTGATATTATTCTTCATATATCAATATCGTATGAGCATGAGATAGAAATATATATGGGCAATTTACTCTAAGAGTATCAATACCCTTGATTGAGGTGTCAATATTCCTCCGATATTGATATTGACTGTAAAATTAAAATTTTAGTGTGTCAAATTGGTATCGATAATGTTTAAGGGTAATTATATTATAACTCCATAGACTCGATTTTCATCCTTTTATCAAAAAAATAATTTAACAAAATGTAATTTATCTCTATATGTCAATTCGATCCTAACATCCTAAAATATCTAAAAAGGGAAAAATGGTGACTATAGAGCTCAATGTGATCAAAATGTGCATATAGACATAATATTTAGAAAATCAAACAAGCATACACAATCAATTCGAAAACACAAGCTAGTAAACTCCTAACTACCCAAAAATCCACTAAGCTTCATAAGACGAGTTCCCCATAACCTATAGTTAATAGAATGTCAAACAAGATGTAACGAATCACATAAACAAGAGTGGTGGCCGCTAAAATTCAGAAAAACAAATTGTGTGAACCATATCACGGATACACCACTAGAAGCAGTAAGCTGCTAAAACAGGAGCGGTGAACCAATAAACTTCCTCCTTCACATCTCAACTTATGAAACTAGACAAGTGTGACATGCTTAAACATATTATAAGATAGCACAATGTATGTGATATAGAAATCAAAATACTTTTATGAACATGTACTGTTACATGCAGTCACCATACAAGAAATGTGTTGTTCGAACATTATCTCACAGGAAAATTCAGAAACATGTTTAATAACCAATCAATGAATTATACAATTCAGAACACAAATAACAGAAACACATACAAAGACACACAGAGGTTGAGATACATCACCACATCATTGATCAATATTTAACTAATTTCAAATTAAACATAATAATTAATTAAATTTTTTAAAATAATTGTAGCATGAAAAAACTCGCACCTAAAATAACGTTTCGAATACGATTAATATTGTTGAAAATTTACTTGGTAACTATTGTGAATGTTCATGGTTAGGCCTTATAGTTAAATATTAGCGAAAGCATAAGATTAATATTATTGAATAAAATAATTGATCGATTTTAAGTATGTGATGCCTTGGATGTATGCATTATATATATACTCGTTGCTTATTCTCTATGCTAATAACATGCTCGTGTTTATTAATTTTATGATGTATATTACATTAATAATATACCAATGAGTTTGTGAAAGCTCAATATTTGATTTGTTTGTAGGTCAGTAAATTGTGTAGTTGGAACACCATCAATTTAAAATATTTAATTTTATTTTTAAGATATATTATCTGAGTACTATGATAAATATGTATATTCATAGAATTTTTATGTGCATTCGATATGCAAAGCTACTTCATATTTTTTTACTAATGACCAATAAAATAACTTCATAATTTTACATTTTTTTTTATAGTTTTACTTTATATATATATATATATATATATATTTAAAATACTGTAATATAAGAGTTAATAAATAAATTTTGGAACTAATATATAAAGTGTACGAGGGACCGTGACGACGGTTCAAACCAATAAAAGACCACCATTGTGTACCTTGGGACGACCTAACCCACCATCATTGAGCCCAAAAAAGGAAAAAAAAACCCATAATTCGTAATTATCCCATCTTTAAGTAATCAATTATAACCTTATTTTTCATAATGAAAAAAAATCAACCCTTCCACTCTGCAAAAACGCAAAGTTCCAGTTTTCCATCATCATTCACTTGACGTCATATGTTTATATTCAGGGTGAGTTCAATCTAATTTTGTCCAATATTTTTAAATTATCTATGATAATTTAATTTCAGTTTAAATTTATATAATTCGATTTATTCTGATTTTCTGTTCAAAAATAAAAAAATAATAATCATTGGAATCAAAAGGAATCTTATTTTATATTTATCTTTTAAACTAATTTTAAATATTTTTATTTGATTTTAAAAAAATCAATAAATCTTTTCCCCCCTAAATGGCCGGCTTCAATTGTTAAAGATGCATGATTGTTGTGTCAGTCCACAGATTCATGGCTCTATATATATCTACTCATCTTTTCTTCCATTTCGTCCCCCACAATTCTTTTCATCTCTTCGTTCGCTGCTGCAATTACAAACCCAGATTTTAGTTTCATTTGGCAAAGCTCCCAACGTTCTTGAAGAAGGTTATATTTTTTAGTATTCTGATTCAAACCAGACATCCTACATATGATGTTTTGTCTAATAGTTTGTATTATTTTAGTTGCCAATGTTGCAATCGATCTGTCCTACGTATTTACGACATTTGTGTTATTTTTGGTTGGGGTTTCAGGGGCTTTAATTAGTTGATATCCATGGAAAGGCTCAACTCAAACCTGTATCTGCAAAACTGTTATATAATGAAGGAAAATGAGAAGCTGAGGAAGAAAGCAGAGATGCTGAACCAGGAGAATCAATCACTGTTATCCCAGCCGAAGCAGAAACTCTCCAATCCCAATAACTCCAAGGGTTTCAATTCAGCAAACTCCAGTTTTAACCCAAATCCTCCGACTTCTATCAATTCTTGATTCTATTCCATAACCGAATTGCTCAAATTAAATTAGTTTTGGGTTCGGACTTAATCTAAAATCTAAATCTTTGAATCATTTCGTTAAGGTGGATGAATTTCGTGAAATAATCATTTCATTTTCTGATTGTATTTTTTTTTCTCCCGCGGCTCAACACCATAACTAATTGTATACATTAGCAAACAATACAGGCTAAACGTCAACCGACGCTGAGTCCAAACGGCTCCTTTCCAACATAGAATTGACCACAGGAGAGACAATATCCGTTACAAAGTCTGGATCAAACACAATTAAAATACTACTTTCAAACAGAACATTAAGCAAAAACAGCAGTATCATCCATTTTAATGCCATTCCAAATTTAAGAAGAACCCAATGTTTTCAACCTAAAAAATCTCCCCCGTTGGGTTTTTGCAATAACGGAAGAACGATGAAGTTTTAGTCTTCCTGGGTTTAGCTTTGGATAAGATATGAAGTATCACCATCAACTTATTTTTGAATCAGTGACTAAATTAGGTCAGATAGAAAACAAAGGGATTAATCGTAGAATTTATCCTTTTTTTTATATCAGTTATTCCAGCTTTAGATTTAGTTTTTGAGAAGCTTGGGGGTTGAAGAGCTTTTGAAGCTCTTGATCATATTATCAACATATGCTTTGAATAGAGCTGGGCATCAATGGCTATATTAAAAATCAAATAAATCGGTTATCGTCATAAAACCGATTGAGTTGTCCAACTATCTAATAATTGAATTTAATAATTAATTATAAATTATTTAATACAATTTACTTACAAGGGCCATAATGCATTTCCTAATAAGATCAGTTTGGCGTGCAATTTTTATTTTTAATGATTGGATGTAATGATAATGTTTTTTTTAAATGAATTCACAATTTTATCTTAAAATATGCTTTCTATATAAATTATTCGAGTGTTGTCATTAAAATTAAATATTTATTTATAAAAAATTAAATTCAATATTGATTATAAAGTCAAATATTTGAATCCGACTTTGATTTACAAAATTAAAAACATGTTTGTTTCTAATGAATGATATTCAAACAATGGATATCCAACTTTTAACATATTAAAATTTGAATTTGAATAAACTCGTGTATTTGATATATAATTTAAAATTTTGAATTTATATTTTTAAAAAATGAAATATTTATTTAATAATAAAATTATAAATGGTTTTATGAAATTATCGTGCCCGTTATAAAAGAAGAACATGACATTCCGTATCCATAATTGGCTGATCGAAGTGAGTTATTTAACCCAAAAGCCTTCACGTTATACTTGATCAATCATGTGGGTAGAAACTTCCTTTAAAAATAATGCATTTTCGTGAATAATGAAGCTAGAAATCTGGGGGAGAAAGTAATCGTTAAAAAAGTATTCCCTATTAAAATAATAAAACAAACTTACTTAAAAGTCCATTTCAAGAGTCAACATCTAGACATGAAAAATATACTCCAAAAGATCACAATTTAATTAGGGTAAATTGCATCAAATATAATCTAACTTCTTTTTTTATCATAATTATAGCACTTAATTGTTAATGTTGAATGACGTGACAATTTGATATTAATGTGATTCTAACGGTGAAGTTAAAAAACCTATTTTTCTATTTCATCTCATCATCTTCTTTATCGAAGTTAAGATTTTTTTCATCTTTTTTTTAATCGTTATTAGAAATCATCATTATTCAATGTTTTTTAAAATCACCTTAAACACTGATAAACTCATCTCATCGTCATTTGTTACTTTGTTGGTTTAGATTTCTCAAAATTTCTTTAAAGCTCATAAAACTAAATAAATAAAATCATCCCTTTTTTTATTTGAAAGCTTTGTTAAATTTTAATAGTTTGGTGTGTTTGCTCAAAATTTCGAATGATAAGAAACATTTTTATGAGAATATGAATAACATAGCTTAAAATTAGATTAATTGGACGACTGTAGGTGGAGATTGGAGTATTAAAACGTCAAATCTTTAGATTGATTTTCCTCGATTTTGAGTGATTTTTTAAAAAACCAATTTAAGAAGAAAACAAGTGAAATATAAATATTCTTATACCGATCTTATGATAAATTATGATCAATAATAAGTAAAAATTGATTGGCAACAGCAACGACACTAAATGATATATAAACTAAAATTTAGTGTATGAAAATAAAATGTTTTAAAATTTAATAATAAAAATAATGCACAAACAAAAATTTATGAAAAGAAATGACTAATCATCATGTTATTTAAGACATACCAATACTTATATTGAAATCACAACTGAAATTTAATATTAAAATTATTTTTTAAAAATAGTTTCGTAATAAAATTATATAATTCCTAAAGTTTTTTTTTTTAGAGATTTATACCCAACAAGTTGCTCTGTATTGATACGTGTGTTCCTTACCTGTCTGATGGCTTTGATGACCATTCTTTTAATAAAAAAATCACAATTTAATATTATACTAAAAAATAAAATAACAAAGCTCCTCTGCTTTTAAACAAGCAATTCTTCTGCCTCGTTAGAATAGAAAAAATCGTCTGCGTATCCATTTTGTTTATTCTTCTGAGATCCAGAGATGGCTGGAAAGCGAGTTAATAGGAAAATATCAGCTGCATCAGCAAGAGCTCACACTAGAAAAGCAAACCAAACCACTTTCTTCAACCTTCCTTCAGGTGTTTTTCTTTCTTTCTTTTTATAAAAAAAAGGTATAAAAGGATCTAACCTTTTATTTGACCTGATTTGAGTTATCAACCTTGTTGTAGAATTCCCCATTTCTTTTAAACTCTGGGTCACTTTGTTTCTCTTATTTCTCTGCTTTAACTCTTTGAAAGCATAAGAAAGTTTGGATTTTGGATATTAGATTATATTGTGTTCTTGCAGATTCTTGAAATATCAGTTCATTCTATTGCTGTGATTTTTTTAATGAATTCTTTGTTACTGCATTGTGTCTTTCCGTTAAGAGTTGAACTTCTAGCTTAGCTTGATGCTTTCAATAAATTGATGGTGTAAAACGATTGGTCTATTATTTTAAATAGAAGAAAGATGACTTCCTTTTTAACTTTTATAATTGGAGAGACCGGTGCCATATTTTGACCATGATTATATATATGATATTGGATGACTAAGTAATTAACTTTGAATTCCAGGTTTATTCACAAAGATAATATTGGTTTTGTCTGTGGGAGCTTTGGCATGGGCTTTTCAAGCCATTAAACCACCTCCACCGAAGATATGCGGCTCTCCTGATGGTCCACCTGTCACAGCATCGAGAATAAAGCGTAGGGATGGACGGCATTTGGCCTACCAAGAGCGTGGAGTTCCACGAGATGCAGCAAAGTATAAAGTCATCGAAGTCCATGGATTTTATTCTTGTAGGTTTGATACTATTAATCTGTCACAGGTATCTGTTTGTTGTGATCATTTAAGCTTTCGGATATAACATGCTTGGATTGAACGTCGTTTGACTTTGTTGTCGTTTCTACTTTCGACCAGGAACTCGTTGAACGATTAGGGATCTACATTGTGTCTTTCGACAGACCAGGCTATGGAGAGAGTGACCCTAATCCGACAAAGACAGTAAAGAATATAGCTTTGGATATAGAAGAGCTTGCGGATCAATTGAGACTAGGATCCAAATTTTATGTAATAGGATTTTCTGGGGGGGGGGGAGTTAATTTGGAGCTGCCTCAAGTACATCCCTCACAGGTATTCCTTTTACCGAACTACTCGAATGCAACCAAGAGATTGCATATAATGTTTGTTCTACCGTTGCGTATACTACTTGCGTTTTTTACTTCTGTGTTTGCAACTCCAACAGGTTAGCAGGGGCAACATTGATAGCTCCAGTAATTAACTACTGGTGGTCTGGTTTACCTACAAATTTAATGAATCAAGCGTATCTGCAACAATTACCGCAGGACCAATGGGCACTCCGTGTGTCTCACTATGCTCCCTGGCTTACCTACTGGTGGAACACTCAGAAATGGTTCCCTGGTTCTAGCGTTATCGCCACCAGTATTGATAATTTTTCTAGTGAGGACATAAAACTCCTGATGAAGATCCCTATGAAGAATCTGGTATGTATCTCTCGACCAGAAACATCCTTGCACCTTTTTTGGCCTTAGCAGTTTAATTCTGTTGACTAATAGTTAAGTTGTGATTTGTTGTACTTGTGGATTGTTGTGGTTTAGTCATTGGAAACTGTCGTGGGAGGTTAATGGTTGTTCTTTGAAGTACCAGTCTATTCCGGCATAATCTCATCTTAGAATATTTTTACAGTTGATTCTCAAACTTCACTCGTTGCCATTGCTGCAATTGTAATCTCGTCTGTCCTTTCTTTAGGCACACTCAAGACAACAGGGTGAATATGAGTCCCTGCATCGGGACATGATAATCGGATTTGGAGCATGGGAATTCTCTCCCTTGGAACTAGACAACCCATTTCCTAACAATGAGGGCTCAGTGCACCTATGGCACGGAGATGAGGATAAGCTTGTACCGGTTACGTTGCAACGTTACATTGTGCAACAACTCCCATGGATTCAGTACCATGAACTACCTGGCGCTGGACATATGCTTCCACTCTCGGATGTGATGTCGGATAATGTGGTAAAGGCACTTTTGGTCGGAGAGAAGTAGTCTGCGCTGCATTTATAGGTCTTTACCCTTATCCATTATCCCCTATTACAACCAAACTTGACGCCTGCAACATTTTAAGCGTGTTCTTCTCTGTTCGAGACTCGACTCGGTTGTGAATCTCGGGTACGGTCCAGTGCACTGACTGTGGCACCTGCATTTGTATTTGTGAAACACTGATTTCCCATTTTGAGTGATTTTGATTTTATCATAGCATTACTTTGCTTTGCTTCTGATTTTGTAAGCTAGGAAACAATAGATCTGGTTGACTGCCTCATCATGCATTGATTATTCTTATTTTAAAAAATTAAATTTTGTTGTACTGAAATGAAAATGCTAGTTTTCGTAATTTTCCTCGTCTTTTTTTTAATTTACATATAATCTTACATATTATTTGCTCCTTCTGCACATTTTAAAAGTTTTATAAAATGTTAGTAAATATATTTTTATATATATTGATGTTTAATTTATTTATTAATTCAAATTACAGTAAAATTTATATAAATTAATAATATCGGATATCTTAATTTTATTAATTTAAAGAGGTTAATTATTCGATAAATTTATAATTTATTAATTTAAAGAGATTTTTCCCAATTCAATAGACCTACATTATTCTTCATGAATTTAAATGAAGTAGTCATTGAAGTAGTTTCAAGGAATTTAAATGAATGAACTACTGAATAAGATATTTATGAACTTGATATGATGATTAATGGTCTTGGATTCCGTAACAAAATGTATGTCAATCACCTTTTTGATTACCCGGATGAAAATGATACAAGGAAAGAACTGAAGATCCTATTGGAAAAAACTTAAGATAAAACAATGTCTTTGCAACTAATTACTAAGAATGAAGCACTCATAGCGGCAATAACTCTTCACAATTTTTTGTTGCAGTATGAAAACGCAACACCGAACTTTTGGATGTATTAAGAAAAGTTAGAGATGAAATACAACAAGATTTAAATTTTAAGAAGAAACAAACAACAATATAATCATATTTTACTAAATTATTCTAGTTATATTTGAAATTTTATAAAATTATTAATTTATAATGTTGAATAGATCATAAATTTATCTAAGGGTCTTTCGAAAAAAATATTATCTTATTAATTTATTGAAGTTATTAATTTAGACATTAGTCCAAGTTGAGATTGAGAAAAATCATTATTTTAGAGGTATTAATTTAGTAAGTATTAATTTATAAAATCTTTCAATACAATTTATTTTATTTACAATATTAGAATTAAAATATTCAACATTGTTTATGCAAAATTGCAAATAGATATTAGAGATCGAGATGATTGGTAAGAATTGACATAATATAGTAAAAGGAAAAGGGAAAAAAAGACATTTGGGCCGTTGAACCTGAGAGTCAAAATCCATATCGTTCGGCTCGGCCCTATAGCCAGTGTTGAAGGTTTAATCTTCACAGAGCAAATTTCTTCAGCTCTTCGTGTACGGCATCTCTGCAAAACCTAATCGCAGATCCAAGCAAAAGAGACTATCTCTACCTTTGCTAACTTTCATGGATTACGCATCTAGGAGAAGAGGTCAAGGAGGCCTTTTTGAAGGTCTCTACAGAGTCATAATGCGACGTAACTCCGTTTACGTTACCTTCGTAATCGCTGGCGCTTTCCTAGGCGAACGGGTGACTTCTTTTTGCTTTGAAATCTCAATCGTTTCCAATTTCGATCCGTTGTTTATATTAACTTTTCTGGTTGATTTTAGGAATAAAACTTAGTTTATTTTTAATTTACTGGTTGGAATTTTATTGGTCTTAGGATTGTTAAATTTAATTGATTATTTAGTTTTCTATTTTAAATTATGAGTTTCTAATAATATTTAAAATTAGCTGCTGTTTACTGATTGGAATATTATAAGCTGATGAATGTTAATTTTCATTGATTATTTGGCTTTCTGATAGTAAATTCTGAATTTCTAATAATATTTAAAATTAGCTGCTGTTTACTGATTGGAATATTATAAGCTGATGATTGTTAATTTTCATTGATTATCTGGCTTTCCGATAGTAAATTTTGAGTTTCTAATAATATTTAAAATTAGCTGCTGTTTACCGATTGGAATATTATATGCTGATGATTGTTAATTTTCATTGATTCTTTGGCTTTCTGATAGTAAATTTTGAGTTTCTATTGAATTAGTAATGCTAAATATTAGCTGTTGTTTACTGATTGGAATATTTTTGTTCCGAGGAGTGTTAATTTTCATAGATTAGTTGGTTTTTTAATTGTTAATGTCGAGTTTCTAGTAATGTTTAAAGTTAGCTGTAGTTTTTAATTTTGATTCTAATGAAAAGGAATGGTGAAGATCCTTACTATAATTGACTTGATTCGACTTTTGCAGGCTGTGGATTATGGAGTTCATAGGCTCTGGGAGTACAACAATGTTGGGGTAATATTTCTCTTCTTTGGGATATCAATTCTGCTGCATTTTTAGGTCTTAGGCAGCTTATTTATGCCTGGCTTGTTTGAAATATTAGTCCCAAATCTAATAATCAATCTATTCACTTACACAATGCAGGCTTGTTTGATTGCATTGTGGATAGGGTAGTTCCTACTCTCTGATACAAGTTTAAACATTTATACCAGTTAAGGAGGCCTGGATTGAGGCTCCTTTATTTTGGCTCATTCCGGTTTCAGAAATATATAAGTAGTCTTAATACCAGTCTTTCTTATGGTTTTATTTAGCCTATTACATTCAGTTTTGGATTTTGAAATACCTTTTCCCTTAAAAATAGATGTTGATTTTTGTTTAAGAACAACCATTATTAACTTCCATAACTCCATCAATATGTTGCTATTAGATGCTTGAAAACTGTGTGTTTAGAAACTGTTTGGAAATGTGGGAATATGCCTTATCTCACTTAAATTGTTTAGGATTGACTTTCTGGAAAAAAGTATATGTAAGTATTGTACTTTCCTTGCGAACTCAAATATTCTGTACAGGCAGATCAGTAAATATAGCACTTCATGTTGTTATTCAGTAGTGGGTGATATGTTCCTTGCTTCATATTTCATATCAAATCTGTTAGAGTGCGTTGATATTATCTGATGTCGGTTGTATACACTGTCATGTGTAGCCAAAAAATGAAGTGCTGTATGCTGTTCATTTCCTCTTCGTAAACTACATAATATAATCTAACTTTTTATATAGCCTTATTGCAAGTCTCAAATATATGTTTCATTTTGATACTTATAATATGGATTTGGTTAGCTTGTCCAACTCGACATACCCTCAGGCATTGTTTGCATGATAGCTCGACAACTGCATGTTTCCCAATCATTGTCTGCTGCAATCAATTGTTTGCACGATGGCTCAACAACTAACTTGTATACTTGATTTCATTGTTATACAACAGAAACGGTACGAAGACATTCCGGTGCTAGGACAGAGGCAATCGGAGGAATAAAATCATCATTCTGTTTCTGGGTATTTTGAGGTTGTTTTTGAGAATTGGGTCCGAGCATATGTCTGTTAAGTAGAGCAATGCTCATAGTTGAAATAAAATGTTATAATATCTGTCTGTTCTAAACCATGGGTTGGACGAATAGTCTCTGGAAAATTTTTGATTATTCAGAATTTTGGGCGGCCACAATGTATGTCGATTGATCTATTTCAAGCATCACCCTGCAATTTGTGATTGTTGCAACTTTATTAATTTCAGCCCATATTTTCGTTCATCTTAAATTGTAACATATTAATACGAGAATAAGTCATAAATTGTAACATATTAAAGAGTAACCAAACTCATTAACATAACAGTGAGTTACCTTGCTAACAGATAATAAGCAAGGCTTTTTTACAATATGATATTCATCGCAAATCCGGGTAACAAGGAACTAGGAGAATGAAGTATGCTTATTATGTATGCATCCAAATAATTGTTATGGCAAAAAAAAATCCGGTAGAAGATTGTAGTGGATTCATTCGGCCTACTAAGATACTCGACCGAACTGATGGTATGAGCAATGTACTTGAAAGATCTACTGTTTCACCATGAATGAACTTTTACAACTGCACCCTCCAACTGCACTGGGGTTTGTTGTCACCTGCACAAGAAATCGGAACTCAGTGGCATACAAGGTAAAAATGCAAGCGAAGCCATGTTTTTCTTTAAAAAAAAGTAACAACGTAGAAAAATACTAAACTGCGGCTGTTCATTACATAGTTTGTGTACGACAAAAGGGATCAAGGTGAAAACAAGCAAAAGATCATTCAGTATGATGTATTGACACTAATGCACTGGACACATAAAACCACTTGACTTCGCGTGTGGTTCAAAATCTTTTGCACCGTCTGATTAAACCAATGACGGAAATAATTCATTTTTCATATTTCAGAGTGTGAATGATTTCATGTAAGCATTTATGCCTAAAGGATCGATACATAGAGCCTATACTATCCCGACAATACCAACAATTTCGTTCAAATCTCATGTTTTTTAGTAACAAAAGTCTATTTAACGAATGTCAGATACAGATAACTTCAAGGTAGTAGCTAGACCACAAAGGTAATATCACACTTGAGCAAAACTGCGAGGGAAATTTAACTCAGAAATCATCTAATGGTTATATTAGGAATAATCAACTACAATGAGCTAAAAGTACACCTAAAGGAACGCATGAAATGTTTCAAATCATATAATAAATTAGGGATCAGTTTCCGGTACAGAACAAGAAAGGGTTATTACATCTGACCAAACTTGACGAAAATTTGTCCGTGCCTCCTAATACAACAAATTTAAAGACTGGAGCTAACAGAAAGTTAAACCAGGACAGAACAGGTAATCGATTTAGTAGTACCAAAACAACATAGAACTGCATCATTTTTTTACATTTAACATTTCTCATACAACCTTTATTAAGTATATTCGCATCTAATCCAAGTTCCAGGTTAGTTAAGGTTAAGGCAAATGACATTCAGCAATCTATTTAGAAAACACCACAATGAACCACTTAGCTAGAGGGAAGCTACTTATGTCCTAGGATTTTAAGACAACATCAATCAATGCATTTATGCACAGAACAAGATAACACGGCTTACCACAAATGCAGAACGAATTAACTCCTCGACATAATCAACTGTTGCCCCTTTTACAAAATCATAGGAAATATCATCAACTACCAACTTTACTCCTTCCCTTACAAAAGATCTGCAAATAGGATTCGATACAAGAAAAAAAATAAAGGTCAAAGCAGTATGAAGAGAGTAAGAAATTTACTTCTCGTAAAACCAAAACAAAAAGAAAAAAAGAAACCTGTCATCTGGGTTTGTTTTTCATCCAAATCAAACACGTATTGAAACCCCGAACATCCACCAGTTTCAACACTCAGCCGAAGCATCTTATTGTCAGATGATTGCAGTTCTTTCATTCTCTGTAAGCCAAACCGAATGTCGGTGAAAAAATGAATAAAACATGTAGATTTTCTAAGCAATTGGGAAAAACATATATGCCACTGACATTAAAAACATAATCCAGGAAATCGCAGCAAGGTAGTTCATACAATTTTCACTGCAATGGAAAACAAATTATAGGGTCTACAATGTCTCCTAAACTTCCAAAAGCATGCAATTTTAACAATTAAAACTTAGAACCTTGCAGAAAAGGTTATTCTTTTGCAATATATCAATTGATAACAATAAATACTAAGACAATAAATATCACATAACATTAGATGAAAAGGGGGAAATGGGGTTTGTGAGGGAAAGTGCAGGAAGCAAAATTATGAATAAGAAAGAAATTGAATGAATTTTTCAATTTGTTTCGATCCAAATGCTCTCATAAGCTACATATTACACAATAAGAAATTAACATAATTCAAAAGGTTAAATATTTTCCTGCACTTTCTCAGCATCCAAACGCAAACGCAGTCCCCAATTAAATTACAAAACACTCTTAAAACAAATTGAAATGAAAAACCCATCAAAGCAATACTAGCAAAAATAAAAGAAATCCCATAAACAATAGATATAGTAATAAAAACAAACGAATCAAGTAAAGATAACATCAACCATATACAGCAAAAAAAAATCTGTTTTTTCCGCTAAATTTTACCTTGACGCAATTATCAGTCATATGAATTGTATCGAGAGAAGGGGATTCAGAAGATTCAGAAGAAGCTTCATGAAGAGCTGAAGCAGAGGAAGAAAAAGAGGACCTCAGAAGCTTGTGGTTTTGCTTGATTCGAGCTATGAAATATGGAGAGATGCGTAGAACCAATGATTTCGACATGGGAATTGGATTAAGTGTTCATATCATGTTTCTCATGGCTTTAAAACGTCCATCTTTTGGTTCCTTTTTCAACGTAAATTTCTGGGGTTTTGCCCAAATGAGCAAAAGGGCTTGTGACGACCACCCGAACTCACGTGTCGTATTTTCTTACAAGCATTAGACCTCTCAATTATGCTCCAAATTAATTATCCAAAAAAAAATTATGCTCCAAATCCCCTAAAAGAATTATGATCTAGATCCAAAAATTTAATCTAATTAATTTAAGTTTGGATTCAATTTAATCATAAAAAAATTAATAGTTGAAATCTAAATCCATTAAAATTAAGTGTAAACTTTAATAATAGATTTTGATAAGAAACATGACACAAAATTAAGATATTTTATAAATAGATTAATATGTTATTAAATATTAAATAGAATAATAATGTGATATAATATAATAGTAGTTGTATTTCTTAAAATTTATATAGTTTATTAATTTGATTATTCATTATTAGTGACTTATCTGATGGACCTATTTGATTTAACAATTAAATATTATGTTATTTTCCTAATAAATAACAGTTTAATAGTAACTTCTTATTATTTTTTACGAAAGAATGCAATTATTATTTTAATATGATGGACCTATTTGGTTTAACAGTATCATAAAAAGGTTAAATTATAAAAACTTTAAAATTTTAATTTTTTATTATAATAAAATTGATAAAAATATATAAATTTTGGAATTAAAATTATAATATATTAGACGTTTATTTTAATTTTAACAATGAAATAGCAAGTTTATAACAATACTTTAATTAGTGAGTTATCTATAACTTTTAGAAGAAACTCTCACGAGTTTTTAAAAGTTTTAGAAATTTCTACGAATCCTTAAAAGAAAGTTTACTAAAAATTTAAACTAAATAAAAAAAAACTCAAAATTTAATATTATTCAAAAAATCAATTAAAAGAAAATTAAATATTAATTAAAATAATAAACAATTAAAAAAAGTATAATTCCTACATCCTAATTTCCTACATATATATATATAATAAAAAAAAACCGTAACCTAAGTCACTCATCCTCTCCCTCTCGACCATCAATTCATCTACGCCGGCGCCGTCGTTTCTGACACACACAGACACACCCAGCCGCACAAAGCAGTAATCTCTCCGCGGCAGTTGCTCACCTCTGACGTTCAATCCGGTAACTTTTATTCATGTTTTGAGGATACAATATATACATGTTTTATTCGTGTTTCTTCACAATAGCCATTTTGTCTTTACAAAAAAAATAAAAATGGGTCCATAAAAAAGCTTGATGTTTAATTTGTTTTCATTTGACAATACTTGATTCAACTTTCAACTGGTATGAAATGAATCGTTAAACTCTATATTTTACTTTCCCCCTCCCTTTATTATTGGATATTTAATTCAATTGAAAGATACCCTTTTTATTTACCATGTAGATAATTGGAAAAAAAGGAAATGGAGAACACCGATTCATCATCGGAAGGGAAAAATTTCAGAGTCCGGAAGCTGGAACTTTCAGACAAAAGCAAAGGTTTTATAGAGCTGTTACGACAATTGACTGTTTGCGATTCAGTTTCCGACAAAGAATTCGAAGATAGATTTAAGGAAATAAGTATGTACGGTGATGATCATGTTATATGTGTAATCGAAGATGAAACTTCAGGTAAGATCATAGCTTCAGGGAGTGTTTTTATCGAGAAGAAGTTCATAAGGAAGTGTGGTAAAGTTGGGCACATTGAAGACGTGGTGGTTGATGCCGGTGCGCGAGGGTTGCAATTAGGGAAGAAAATCGTGGGTTTTCTTGCGGATCATGCTCGTTCCATGGGATGTTATAAGGTTATTTTGGATTGCAGCAACGAGAACAAGGTGTTCTATGAGAAATGTGGCTTTAAGCAGAAGGAGATTCAGATGGTTAAGTATTTTGTTTGAATATATTATTTTGCTTTTGCCTTTTCTTTATGTGCATTGCTTGTTTTGATGTTGATTTCAATCACCAATGCCATATTTCTTTAAGTACATTAACATGGATCCATACAAGTGATTCACTGTTCTATCTGTTTGATGCTTCTAGGTAAACTTGTTAGGCATTCCTTCAATAAAACCTTTTCAATTCATGCTTGTTCGTGACAAATCATTCTGCCATTTATATACTTCATTGATTAAATGTGTGTTAATCCATAAGTAGAACCAAGAACAATAAAAAGTTATCTTTGAATTAAAGGAGCATAAAGAGTTCCACAACCATTGTCTAAATTAAGATTCAAGATCAAAATCCATTCAGGAACTATAAACGTGCAACAACAGAACGGGGCAAAGTGAACTTGAATCTTATCAGCAAATGTTTCAAAAACAGGAGAATTCCTAGTGAACTGCGGCAGCAACTGAGAAATAGATATAAAGCGAAAAATCACAGCCTTCTTCCACGTCTGCCACCCTTTCTGCGGGTACTATCAGTGGGAATGGGAGTAACATCCTCTGAGGTGAAGAAAGAGTAACATTGTAAGTTTAAAGAGAGTTGAAGTAAATGGAACCAATGAACTGAATCAACAGGATGAAAGAATTGCACCTATGCGGCCGATTTTCATGCCTGAACGAGCAAGGGCTCTAAGTGCTGATTGGGCACCAGGACCAGGTGTCTTGGTCTTGTTACCTCCAGTAGCACGGAGCTTTATGTGAAGGGCTGTAATACCCAACTCCTACAGATAACGTTCATGAGAAAGAATAAGTTCAAGGCATGGAACTATGTGGCACAAAGTTCAAATAGGTAAGTGATAGAAACCTTGCAGCGTTGAGAAACATCTTGTGCTGCAAGCATGGCTGCATAAGGGAAGACTCGTCCCTATCAGCTTTCACCTTCATTCCACCTATGTATATAACAAAAATTAAAATTACTCTTCATAAAAACAACTCCAAGCAAGGACATGAATATCAGTGCACGTCAATGTTCGATTAACAAATTATTAAAAACTAAATCTTAATTGATCCAATAAATTGAGAGATGACAAAAACCCAAGATAGCAAAAGAACCATTTTCAAAAGATCACCACAAAACATACCAGTGATGCGAACCATTGTTTCCCTTCCCGACAAATCTGTCACATGCTGCAATTGCAATCAATGGCATCATTTTAAATGGAATGAACTACCGGAAAACAAAATCAATGTAAAACAGAGAAGCTGGGAATGTTATCACTTACTATAAATGTGTCGTTAAAAGAAGCAAAAATGTGAGCCACTCCAAAAACATACTCGCCTTCTCGGACAGCAGGTCCAAGGGTAGTATTCTCCTCCTTGGGCTCCCTAACCTTTCTCCTCGACTACAGAATACCACAAATCAAAGGAAGTGTCAACTAAATCTGCCTTGAACCAACAAAACACTAACAAAAAAGATCCTATGAATCTATATAAACACCATTGGCAACAAATACAAAGTTTAAATCTAATCTAATTAGTAAATGATTCTAATAAGAAATTTCCCTTTCAAAAGACTAAAAGACAGAGCTTTGCGTATTTTCAGTTTTATTTAGCTTCAGTGTTTCCTATTGACAGTTGGTATGTAAAATTCCATTCTTTTAAATTTCTATTCAATACCCGAATCCTAAACTTTTATTTTTCTCATCTACCAAACAAATTTAGCTTGATGTTGAGAGAAAAGATAAAAGAAAAAACAAGACTTACCATGGCTTCAGGCGAAATGCAAGAAAGTTGTCAAATTAGGGCTTTTGGTGAGGGCTTCTGCGGATGACAATTTTAGCTTCGGAAGAGACGAAGTAGTATCAGTTACAGGTTTTTAGAGCTAGGGCTTTGATGTCTTTCAGAGTAAATGACGAAAGGGACCTTGACTTAGATTAACTTGCTCAAATTGTCATTTTGGTCCCTCCCATTTAATTTTATATTCTAGAATTTTTATAAAACATTGTATGATTTATTGATGGGCTAATTTATTTTGAATAATATAGTATAAAGATCTATTGTTAGGATGATTCTCATCTATTTTATTTCATTTAAAACATTAAAATTTAAATTTTTTTTATACATTTACAATTCAAACTTTAATCTTAAAAAATTTAACATTTTATCTAACTAAATCAAATCAACTAATAATTAGTATATTATACTCTAGTTAAATAGTGGAATTACACAAATGGTCTCTTGATTATATGGTATTGTTTTAATGAGTCTTCTTACTATTAAAAGTTACAAAATCATCCCTCGATTATATGACACTACTTTGTTGAGTTCCCTGGCTATTAAAAAATTACAAAATTATCACTGACTATTCATATGTTCTAAACTCATCACGTTCCGTTAAAAATTTATGATAATATGAGTTGGACATTAACCTGCTGATTCATATATGATAAAATCATAATTTAATGATGCCTATTGGCATCGTCGTTGCTTTCAAGAACCGACTCGGTGACATAATATTTCGAGCACTAGCTCGACATCATAATATATATAAAGACTCAATCCACAAAATACAACTTAAACAGTTTTAGGATCAGATTCTTCATCATATCCCAGTTGTGAACACTAATTTTTCATTTTACTTAAATTATTATTATTAAAATTAAAATTAAAATTATTATAAATATTATTATTATATTATTATTATTATATTATTATTAAATAATTATTACAAACCCAAATAATCAGGCCCATTTTACAACCCCAAACCCTAAACCCAATTAGGGTTTTCATTCATCTCTAGCCGCCTCATCATCACAGCCGTTGGATCTGAGAGATCCAACGGTCAACAGGAGGTCCAACAATGCAGCTAGGGTTTCTAAACCCTAGTTTCTACATAGCCACGTCCCAGCCGCCGCTCCAAAGTTCCAGTGAGTTCCAGCCGCCTTGCCGACGCTTCAGTGCCACGATGACCTCGACAGAAGCCTCCAGAAGGCCAGCTGCTCCCCACATGTCACGGCTATGGGGTGAGTCACCACATAGCTATGGTGACTCACCAGAAGTCTCCACTGGAACCGGTCCGACGAGAGCCTCAGTGGTGGCTATAAAAGCCACCACACCTGCAAGAAAGAAAAAAACGGCAGAGAACGACAAAAAAAAAAAACAGAAAAAAAAACAAAGCAAGAGCTACCAACGATCCCAATCAACGACAAACCAGAAAAGAAAAAAAAAAAGAAGAAGAAGAGAACAGAGGAACTTACTCTGTCATCGGAGAACCCCAAACGTCACCGGAGAACCGAAATACCGAAGGTGAAAATCGTAGATTTACGATATATTATAGGGTTTTAGGTTAAAATAACCTTAGATCGGACCTTAGGACGTTTAGATCTACGCTTTGGGGGTGTTTTTGGTAAATTCCGGCCACCGTTTACGGTGGCCGGCGACGGTGGCCGGCGGCGGAGTACGGTGGCCTATGGCTGCCGGTTTCCCTCCGGCGAGGGAAACTAGAGAGAAACCAGAGAGAGAACTCTGGTTCTCTCATTCAGAGAAAGAAAGAAAAGAAAGAAATGGGAAAGCTTGGCCCTTCGGGCCAGGCGTTTAGGTTTTATAAACCCTCCCCCGAACGACGTCGTTTTGGGGAGGGTATCTGTGTAATTTAAGAAAGGGTAAACCCTTTCCGCAACCCTTATAGTTCTGTAACTTTGCAATTTAGTCACTGAAATTGACTTTTAATCATTTTAATTTAGTGTTTAAATTTTATTTTATTATATTTTAACCATTAACTGTATTTATATATATTTAGGAAAATATCAAATTTAGTCCCTCATAGTTTATTAATTATTATTTTAATCACGTATTAATTAATTAGGTTAATTACACTATTAATCATTATCTTTCATAATATTTCGAATTATTATCTTATTTTTAATACTTTATATTTAGTTTTATAATTTTTGAATTTCTTTTATTTTGATCATTATTTAATTACAATATTATTTTGTTATTACTTTATATTTTAATTATTGCTTTAATTATTATTTTATTATTATCTTAATCATATATATATATATTTTTAATAATAATGTTTATTTATTTTTGATATCAAAGAAAAAGGCAGTCTTAATATAACTGGATGTCTTATTCTGGTATTTTAAAATAATTAAATATTATAAAAATTATAATTTAGTTTTATTTAAAATATTAAAATTTTAATATATTTTTATCAAAGAAGAGAGCTGTCTTAAGATACCTAGAAGCTATTTTCTGATATTTTTGAATAAATAAATATCTTACTATATTAAAATAAATTTTTGTCATAAAAAATGTTTGTCATTTATTTATTTTTTTAAATATTGAAGAAAAGAGTTGTTTTAAGGCACCTAGAAGTCCTTTTCAGATATTTTTAAATATTTTTTATAATTTTGAAATAATAGTATTATAAATTAAATATATTTTGAATTTTTTAAATTTATAATAATAGAGACAATTTATAATTAAAAAGTACCAATTTTTGGGCGTTGTAGGGGTGCTAATCCTTCTCTAAACGTAACCGACCACGAATCCCTTTTATTATTAAAAAGAACGAATTTTTGGTTATAAACGCAGATCAGTTCATCTTTTAACTGATGTTTTCTTAAAAACTCTGTTAAAAGATAATTTTTAGGTATTCGACCTACCTGATCCAAAAGGCCGATGGCGACTCCCAAATTATTTTCAAAACTATTTATTCACATCAATTTCACCGCCAAATAAATTTTTCGTGCCCGGACGAAATCCGGTTACGACAGCTTGGCGACTCCGCTGGGGAATGTCAAACTTTAAAATCAATTATAAATTGTCTCTATTAATTAGAAATTAAAAATTCATTTATTTAATTTTTAATTCTTTTCTTTCAAATTTTTATTATTTATATTTTTATATTAATATATTTTTTTTTATTCAGGTATTAATTATTTTATTTATCTGTTAGAGGTTTGAATATTTCTCCTCACACACAACACTTGCATAACATAAAGCTCTATAATTGAGTTTGTCCTTTTAAGTGGGAGTGAAAGCGACGTCTTCGTGAGAATTTATTCTCCGTGTTAGACCTAGCAAGTAACTTTCGGGGTTCATATGCTCTATGTCTTCGTGAGAATTTATTCTCCGTGTCAGGTATAGAGAAATGTGTCCCCTCGAATTGAACTCGATCCGTTTAAAGTCTGTAATGGACTAGGATTGAGGGTTGACAGCCCAAGGGGGCATCAACAAGGACAATTCGAGTACCTTTACTCCTAGAACTGAAACTCTGCATATAATAAACCCTAGAAATTCACCTAATCTAAGACAGTACTGAACCTCTGTTCATAGGTGTACACAAAGGAAAAATAAGCTCTAGCTTTTAATTTATTTAATTTATTATTATTTTTTCTCCCTGAATAAATGCCTGCGAACTAAAAATCATGCGGTTAGGTTAATTTTTCCTAACAAAACATGGAACTAGAAAGCATGAGGTTAAGATTTCTACCTTAATAGATAGATTTTTTATTAGTTGGTAATAACTATTTTATTTTTTCTCATTTCTTTTGTTTGCATTGCATGATCATAGCATAACCAAAAAGGTGTTTACTAGAAAGACTGTTCATCGTATTGGAAAGAAATCGTAAATGGACAAAAAGTTTTATGATAAAACAAAATATGATGCGGCCAAAGAAAGACATCCCTGAGGAAACTCTGAGGATAGAAGCAAGCTATGCACCCAAAGATCGTATGACCATTAAGGAGCAAGAGGAGATACGAGAAATAAGAGAGCAGATGTCCAAGATGATGGATAGAATATCTGTTTTGGCCAAAGGAAAAGAGATTCCAGCACAGAAAGAGAAAAAACCCACAGCCACAGAGAGCAACGGAGAACAAGAGACTACAACAACGACGAACAAACATAAAGAGGAGACAGAGACCAACGACCAGCAACCAAGAGCCACAAACAACCAAAAACCAACAAATATTAAACCGAAAGAGAAAGAACTTACCAAAGAGGACTCCACGGTCACCGGAGAAACAATAAACATCCACGCGTGACAAAAAGATTCGAAATACTCGAAGTAAAAACCAAGATTATTCATTTATTTTGCCGTACCATCATCATGAAAAACAATGGAGCAATCTTATGAGGGACTACAAGATAAGTGGCCAGAATAATTGACAGGGTTACCTCGGGATACAAGGAAAGAAGCGTCAGATTCAGTACCAGATGAATCAGATCAAATTATTCAGGGAATGGAATCTGATAAAAAAAAGATAACTGCTAAAGAGAAATCGTGCTATCAGATTGAAGAGTCAAGAAAGATAACATACCCTGGGGCATCCCACTTGAACCCAAAGAATAGCCTCGTTAATTATTCACAATATGATAAGAGAGTCAAGAAGGCAGATGAAGAAATCAAAAACATGAAAGATGTTAGTGCCCACCACAAAGAATTAGAAGCACGAGAGCTCAGCTTGGTTCCAGATTTGATTATTCCCCATGAATTCAAAATGCCTGATTTTGAGAAATATGATGGCGCCAGTTGTCCCTTAATCCATTTGAGAATGTTTTGCAGAAAAATGGAAGGATATTTAAGTTCTGATGATTTGTTAATTCACTCCTTCCATGATAGTCTTGTTGGCCCAACAGTAGTCTGGTACAATCAGTTGACACAAGAACAGATCAAGAAATGGGTTGATTTAGCTGATGCATTTTTGGGACAATATCGGTATGTTAAAGGCTTAGCTCCAACACGTATGGATCTTCGAAGAGTAAAGAAGAAAACCAATGATAGATTTCAAGAATATGCCTTAAGATGGAGAGGAGTGGCAGCACAAGTTCAACCTCCCATGTTAGAAGAGGAGATATCACGTATGTTTCGTGATTCCCTTCCCGCTCCTTTCTGCGAGTTGATGCAGGCAAATCTGACAAAGGAATTCGAGAATCTTGTGACAAGTGGATATTTAATTGAGAATGTAATCAGTGAAGAAAATTCAAAAGTCACATCCAGGAGCCCGACGGTTCAAAAAGCAAAAGCTGATCATGTGAATGAGTATCGCATCCAGAGTCCTCGCAATTGCAAAGAAAAAGAGCAAGTAACTGTTCGGATCGACCAAAGAAAGTCATGCGATCAAGAAAAACTTTGGAAGTGTTCCAAACTTCCATTTCAGACTTGTATCCTCATTTGGTTAAAGGTCAATACATCACACCAAGACCAACTAAAGTGACACCAAATCCTTGTGCTCATAGCTATGATCAAGATAGTGTTTGTAATTTCCATTTGGGGGTAAAGGGGCATTCTACAGGCAATTGTAGGCCACTGTTAAAAGAAATTGAGATGCTTGTTGACAAAGGGGTTTTGACACAAGAAATGATCAAGAAATGGGGGCGAATAAAGAAAAGAACCCTGATCCTATTACATACCCAACATTATAGGAATAATGAGGCATGATGCATAAACAAGTGGAAGTGTTATCTACCACTGTAGTACCTTTCATTTTCAGCATCTTGTTTGAACTTGTTTTTTGTTCCTTTCTCCGTTTTTTTTTGCAATAAATAAACTTGTGTTGCTTTTATGGTTATGAGCAAAGAATCAAGTTTTAATCTTGAGATTATTGAGTATCGAGTAGATTAAATATCCTTTTAAATTTTCAAGAGTTATAGATCTATTGGCAAGTGGTAAAATTATATCTTCCATATCCCATCCAATGCCAATTACTCAACCCTTACCAAAACCAAATCCTGACACTACATTTATCTGAGACTCTGAAGAAATGTCTCTACCTGTTTTTGAGACACAAACTCTAGATGTTTACCTTTTCGGGTAGAGTTGATTGATTGATGATACTACCTTCCACCATATACATGACTTTATAAGTCACACATTTGTCCTTCCAAACACAAAACCATCCAAGCAAAAAAACCTTAAAAGAACCAAACTTTCAATTATCCGTGAATCTTACTGTAAGAAGAGACGAGATGAGGCATCATGGACCAACTCATTGAAGATAATTTCGAGTGATTATGGCATACTTAAAGAAGAAGGGAAGAGTGATTGATTAAAATAAACATATCATGCATTAATTACATTTTTCATGTAAGTAAAATTGATCTTGAATATTCATCCCCCTGGAGATACCTCTTTTTACAAGGACTTCTATGTATGAGATGACTAAACTTCACGCACAGTTTGAGATCAAGCATGCAAATTCAGTGTCATATCGCCCAAAGATGAATGGGGCATTTGCAGGAGCAAATAAGAACCTTAAGAGGATCATTACAAAGACCACTAAAGCTTACAAGGTTTGGCACGAGAAGCCACCTTTTGCCTTATATGCATATTGAATTAATGTGCGAACATCTATTGGGGCAACACCTTATTGTTTAGTCTATGGGATGGTAGCAGTATTACCAATTGAAGTTGAGATCCCATTATTTTGTATCCTCAAGGAGGAAAAATTGGAGAAGACTGAATGTATCCAATTTTGATTTGATCAATTAAACCTTATTGATGGGAACCAAGTGAAAACTATTTGCCATGGGCAGATGTATCAGAAATAGACGATGAAAGGTCACAAACAAAAAGTACATCCGAGAGAGTTCCAAGAGTGTGATCTAGTATTGCCTTTACATAAAGATTTCCGTGGGAAATAGAGGCCTTTTCCTGAGAAGTGTTGATCTTGGCAAAAATAGATAAGAAAGTTATGAAAACCCAAATAAACTCAGATTCTGTCAAGAGATATTATGCTTAAGAGAAAAATGACAAAAGGAAAAGGAGACGTCCAAAGCAATTGAAGTATTAGACTCATCCAGCAAAAAAAAAACAAAAAAAAATTGAATCAAGATGGTTGACTCATGGAGCCTCAAGTTACAAGATGGATCAAAGATTCATATTCAACAAGAAGAGCAAGAAATGATGAAGATATAAGAAAATTAAAATGAACCTAAAATTTGGCAGTCTAGAGGGATCCAGATGATAAAAAATCCCCGGCAAGACAGATCCAAGTCAAGCAAAGCAAGATTGAAGGCATCCAATTAAGAGAGAATATCTTCAGAATTCATTCCGCCTCTCAAGATTGATTTTTATTTGCAAAAATTGGTTTTTAAAATCTTTAATGCATGATATGAAAAATGATAAAGGGGGGTTCAAGATGTAAATTTTTAAATAAACATCTTAGAACCAAAGAAGGATTCGAGTTGAAAACCTAAAAAAGGCGGCTCGAATATTGAATGGTGCAACAATGACATAAGAGACGATCTTAAGCTCTTAATAAAGCACCGCACATCCCAAAGACGTTCCTGAGAGTATGGAAACAAGAAGAATTTCTACAAAAATGAGCATAACAACCATTTCTTCAAGTTAGTGGAAGCCCGAAGCGATATACTGAACCAACTTGAAAGAACCTACTTTACCAAAATCAACCTACACCTCAAATCAGTCAATAATTTTGACACTTGCCATAGGACTATGATTTTTGAATGATTTAAAAGTGTAGTTGATTTATTTGATATTCATTAAACTCATTGTTTATGATTTGATTCTATTGTGAACCTAAGAAGGGCATTACTTTGCAAAATTCTTTCATTCTTCAATAAACAAAGGAGGAAAAAACATTTTCAAACCTGGCAGTCTCAAATGAGAAAGGTCCTTGAAGCAATTGTTGCTTATTCTACCTCTGTTGTAGAAAAAAGAATAAACAAGGCCAGAGGAATGAAACACTTCACATTTTTGAAGGCAAGTGGTCCAAGAAGCCAGAAAGTCTGGGGAATTGAACTTGTGACACTCCCCTATCACATTATTAGTAGCTCATCAAGAAAGATTATCGTTTATCTCATGTTGAGGTCGATAAGCATCACCAGACAAATTACTTTCCCCAGCCATTAATCCATGTTTCTGGCAGATTACATCACAGAGATATAGGTCCCAGTAAGATGTATTATGGGAATGAACAAGTCACTACTTGCACTCTGGTTATACCGTGATGTTGGCTCAAGTCTTGATACATCATTGCTACTTCTTCTAGGCCGATCATTTTCTTTGTCAAGATGATATTCATTATGTCCTTCAGAAGATTGCTGAATTTGAATTTAAGGACTTATAGCACAGAATAAGACATTGGAACAAATTTTACATTTGTATGCCGTACAGGATTCCAAAAGTTGAGATAACCAGTTTTACCATCAACTAAACCTTTCCATGGTTAGGGAAGAGTGGGATAAGACAGTGTGTATTTTGGAGCAGCAGAAGAGACAGTCATTGTGGTAGTCATTGCAAGAAAATGCACCAGCAAAAATCTTCTATTTCATCCTGATGATGTTTATTTCTTCCAGTAAGGTTGTTACACTGGATGTCACCGACAACAAGGTCGAATTCGACAAATCTACTCATCAATTGCTCCAACCGATCATCATTCAGTTCTTGCACATCCGTTTTCAAAAATATGCCAAGACAGTAGAAGACAACCTCTGCATTATTGATCCCAGAAAAAAAAAAAGACAGGACATTGATATCACCAGAGAACATGTCTCTAGCAGCTCCTTATATATGGTTTTTAGGGAAACCTAGAAGCATTTCTACCTCATCAGGTTCAAGTGGAGCAACTTTATTTCTTCCAACCCATACCAGATTCCATTTTCGGCACTCATCAAGAACATACTTCTGGACACTCGAAGGTAGCTCATCGTCATAAAGCTTCAAGAGCCTTACAGATCCTTTCTGTCAATCTGGAACTTCTTGTACATGTTTGTAAGCAGTTCAACTTTGTTCTTGGATCCCATGAAGACTATCATTTCTTTGTCAATAGAAAAGCATCAGCACATGGAGGAAGCAGAATAAGAGAAAATCTGTCTTAATTGGCAGAATTATGAATATAGCCCTTTTCAGTGTAGTAGCATGGAAATGCTTCGAATCTACAAATTCTAGCTCTACATCAAATAAGCATTATGATATTCTAGTCCAAACATTAACTGGAACAAATGTAATGTGCTCAATAGCATCTTCTGGAAGTGTTCTTTGAGTTATCTGATCTGGTTAGACAGAACCAATCATTGAATTTAGAAGATGAATGTGCTCATAGCATCTTCTGGAAGTGTTCTTTGAGTCATCTGATCTGGTTAGACAGAACCAATCATTGAATTTAGAAGATGAATGTGCTCATAGCATCTTCTGGAAGTGTTCTTTGAGTTATCTGATCTGGTTATACAGAACCAATCATTGAATTTAGAAGATGAATGTGCTCATAGCATCTTCTGGAAGTGTTCTTTGAGTTATCTGATCTGGTTATACAGAACCAATCATTGAATTTAGAAGATGAATTTGCTCATAGGAGAAATAAAGAGACTCAATAGCATCTTCTGTAAGTGTTCTTTGAGTTATTTGATCTGGTTTGGTAGGAACTACAGAACCGATCATTGGAATTGAAATATGAATTGCATGATCATCTTCATTAAGAAGCTTCTTTTCAAGCTTCCTCTGCTTCTTCCTTTTCCACAAATCATAACCCAAGTTTTGCCT